TATATACGTGGGTTACAAGTGCCCCGAGTGGCTTAGGGGGGTTAGGTAACTCGGCTAAGTGGGCGGAGCCCACTTCGCCCGGATCGCTACCCCCCCTAAGCTACTTAAGGCGCTTGTAGCCCGCTTAAGTTAACCCCCCGGTGGGCCAGATATAAACCACCTTGGCGTCCACTTGTAACCCCCCTGTCCATTTAGCAACCCCGACGGTAATCCCAGTTCTGGGGCTCATTGCCAGCGGGCGGCCGTGCCGCCCAGGGCCGTCCATTCGTGCCTCTGGACAGCGGTTGCCACGGGTGGGTGCGGGGCCCGATGCCGGAGTTCGTTTCATTGGCTGAGAACTGCGGGCCCGATGCCCTGGAGGCTCGCAGGCGCGCGGTGCCAGCGCGTGCTTGGATGCTGCGTGAAGGGAGGGGGTTCAGCGCCAGAGCACGCTGCGACGCCACTCTGCGCGGAACGGTGGGCAGTCTGGAGTCCACCGCGCAGGCGGCGCCTCCTGCCGTGCGAAGCCGACGCAAAGCTGATGCTTCTCTTCGCCTGGCTAGCCAGACGCCGCCCATGGGAAACGGTGATCGCGGCAGGCGGCAATTCGGGCGTGGCACATCGAGCAAGACCTGCTTCGCCCATCCGAGTCGGAGTGGGCCCCTCGAGACGGGTATCTGCGGCGAGAGCTGAAGAAGCTTGGCTGGCAGATCATTCCCTGCTGCGCTGGAAGCCGCCAGCATGCAGCGGAGCCGCCTTGCACGCGGCTGCACCTCATGCGTGTGGATCACAGCCATGGTGGCTTTGGCTTTCTTTTGTTGTGATCTGGCGTTGCGCTGAGGTTCAGGCTCTCCAGGTGTCGGGCGTGGCGGGCCAGGGCGCCGCTGTCCAATGCAGGATCAGAAGGCAGAAGGACGACTCTTTCGGTGAAGGCCTTCTCGTCGGAGTTCTCACGCTCCTGTCCCTCGGACTGCTATGCCCTGCGAGTCTGCTCAAGGCTTTGGCTGAAACAGGGAGCCGTGTCGTGCGCGCAGTCCGATGGTGTCTTCTCCTCAGTCGCAGGGGTCGCTGATCTAGAGCCCGTCTTTGCCGACACCATCAGGCGCATGGTGCTTGGTCTGCCGCCAGATCGAGTTCGTTCAGATCCCTGGCCATTCCCTGCGCCTGGGCCAGGGCAACGCGCAATGGTGGAATAGCGCTGCGTCCGTGCCTGATCAGCTCGTGCGTGGCCAGGAGTTCCATGCCTGGTCGCCCATGAAAGCACGGGGGAGTTCTATGCGACAGTTCCTGTGGCCGCTCGAAAGCATCGCCTCATCCAAGCCGCCCGAGCGACGTGCTCAGCTGCCCCCGTGCCCGCTGGGTAGCCGCGTAATTTGGGCGGGCCCACAGTTTGGCAGCGGCCCCCACGATATTTCGATCTGACTGCGCTGCGCCGCCGCCCCCGCTGCTCCACCAGCGCTGCCGCGCGCCCAGATCGGATCCACGCTTCGCGCCTGCCTTCCTGGACTTCGTGCCTCTGAGGGGTTTGGGCCTCCCCGCTGTGAGGGTGCTGCCGAGGCGTGCGACTGACGCAGCAGCTTTACATTGGCCACGGCCAGGGGCGAACGTCATTTTTGTATATCATGCACGCTTCGCGCCGCGTTGGCTGTCTTTCTGGGGCACCCAGAGGTTTCTGAAGGTCCCCAGCGATTTTTTCGCATGGTGGTGTGGAGTGGAAGTCGTTGTTCGTTAGTAGGCTGGCGCATTCGAGCAGCGAGGTTTCACGGACACCTGCTTTTCTTTTCTCTAAGCTTTCCTTTCCTGCCCTTTCCGCGCGCAGGCCCGGGGGACGGCGTTGCGCGTCTCGCGGGCCCCCGCCACCCAGTGTGGCGTGACGTGGTGTTCGTGCTCTGCCTCCGTTCGGGTGTGGTGGTGGTGGTGGCCTCCTTTCGGCGGGTGCGCCGCCGTGGTCTGCGACTGATGCGGCGCTCCCACATGGGCCACGCCGCGGCCAATGGCGAACGGAATCTACGATGCAACGGGCGTCCTGGCCCCCCGAGCCCAGGGGCAGCGCGCTTCCCCCCCCCACTTCTCCCCTGGTAACCAAATCTAGCCCGTGGGGTTTCGGCCCCAAGGTGGGAGAAGGCGGCTACAGACGGCCTCAGGAAGGCTTGCCTCCATGCGCCTCCAATGCGGCCCATCACGCTCTGTGACAGCTTTGGGAGGTTCTTAAAGGACCCTAAGAGGTTCCCCAGGTGACCTTAAGAGGGCCAACTTGTGTCATTCACGTCAGGAAGTGGCATGTTCAACATCTAAGTTTTTTGCTCTTGGTAGCGTTCACGAGGGCCCGCGAGACCCCAAGATCGCCCCAAAATTGACCCAGATGCTCCCAGGACGCTCCCAGACAGTTTGATAGGCGCCCAGGACGGCCGAAAAAGCCCCTGGGAGGAACCCAAGAGTGTCCCAATATTTCGAACCCGCCCCAAAAGGATACCCGAGTCCGCCAACTAGCCCCCCAAAAACTTCCAAGAGGGCCCCAAGATCCCCGCAAGAGGTCCCCTGGAGGCCCACACATGGCCCCCAAAAGAGACCCCAAGATGCTTCAAAACTGCTTCTCAAACACCTCCGGCAGGCATCTCAGAATTAGATCCGGTGCGCAAGTGGCAGCTTTGGGTAATCGGGGGGGTCACGGCTGCCCAGGCGCTGGCTCATATAATGAATTGATTCAGCTGCACCCTCTGCCCACCCAGGATCACTTCTAATACTTCTGAGATCGTATTCAACTCCTTCCTGACACATTCTTGACAAGGACAGGATCAGCAGTCCAAGGAAGAGAAAGTGGATGCTGAGGCAGATGAGGAGGATGATGCGAAGGAGGACGCCTACCCAGGTTCTGGCCAGGTCGTCGTCCAAGGCCATGCTGACACGCTCGGGCTGGTCTGGGGGGTCACGGTTGCCCTGGCGCTGGCTCAAGGACCAGTTCAAGACGGCCCAAGACGGTCCAAGAGAGCCCTGAGACGGCCCAAGAGGCCCCCTAAGCCACACTGAAATGGCCCCAAGAGAGGCACCACAGGCCGGGACCGCAACTCGGACGCTCTCCATACGCCCCTAGAACCCTCCTTGAGGCCCCCAGAGACCTTCGAAAGGCTTCCAAATGGGCCCCACAGACTTCCAAAGAGCCTTCAAGGAATCTTGTTCACAACCTGAACCCCCCTCGATCCGCGACCCCTTCTTCCTCTTGCCTTCCTCCCCCACCCCTGGCCTCTCCCTTTCTCTCCCTCTCATTGGTTTTCGGGGCCATAGATCGAGCCTCAGGCTGTCGCTCGGGACAGTTAGGATAGGCAAGAGGGGGAGGTCAAGAGGAGGCCCAGGATTGCTTCTCCTGCATTTCATCACAGCGCCAGGGACTGCGCTAGAACCTAAGCGAAGCGTGCGCGTGGCTCCAATATTGTTATCATGCGCTCTTTGTGGCGCATTGGCCATGTTGCCGGGCCTCCTGGAGGTCTCTGGAGGTGGTCCTCGGCGGCCGTCTCTGATTGCGGCGTGAAGCGGGAAACAATGAGGACCCCATGAGGTGAAAGAAGGCTCCAGGATGCTCCCAGGAGGCCGCAGAAGGCTATCAAGCCTCAGGAGGTTTCAGAGGGCCGAAGGAGGCCCAAGAGGCGGAAGGAGGCCCCACGATGCGGATGCCCTTGCTCATGCTCAGCGTCACTCGTACTCACGACCACTCAGATTCAGGTCCGCGTATGCTCAGCCACTCGAAGTTTGTTTGATTCGTTCATCTTCGGTTTCGCTCATGCTCGTACCTATTTATTTCCAGACCACTTCAGGCTCATACCTGCTCGTATTTGGAAGCGTCACATTTACACGCACGCACACGTACCCACTCACATCCACAACCGGTCCTATCCAGACTTTGGGCGTACTCAGTCACTCATGATGAGCTGCTTACATTCGTACTCGCTCAGGCCCGCTTACATCAACATTCGCTGATACGCGTATTGGGAAGGCCTAGAGGCCGGTGCCGCCGAACCTGAAGGGGGACGGTGACGGCGGCGGCGGCGGCAGCGGCGACGACGACGCTGACGCTCTGGAGCCTTTCTTGGGGCTCTCTTGGGAGCCTCTTGGGCTCTGTTGGGGCTTGGGCTGGGGCCGCGGCTGGGGCCAGGGTCAGGGCCAGGGCTGGGGCCGGGGCCGAGGCCGAGGCTGGGGCCACGGCCGGGGCTGGGGCCGGGGGCCGGGGGCCAGGGCCGGGGCCGGGGCGCCGGGGCCGGGACCCGGGCTGCGGCCCTCTTGGGCCTGGCCGTTTCTGGGTCCAGGGCTGGGGCCGGAGCGAGGGCCGGGGCCAGGGCCGGAGCGGGGGCTCGGCCGCGCGGGGGAAGACGTCTTTGGGAGGCGACCCCTCCCCGGGACTCCCCCGGACCCCCCCTGGGATCCCCCCCAGGACCCCTCCGGGACCCCTCCCCCTCATGGGGCGGGGAAGGGATCAAATGGAAGGGGCTTCCCTTCCATTCCACTCCGATGTTGTTCAATTTTGCTCTGGACGGCGCGTATCAGGAAGAGGGCCCAGGCAAATGGAACAGAGGAGGACGGAGACGACGACTCGATTAACGGAAAAGCCAGACTCGAACAGAAAAAACCCTCACACGTCGACAGGGTCGGCGGATTTACGCGTATTCAGAGCCACTCGTTTCCAGATTGACTTGTGTTCAGTACCATTCGTGCCTGAACTGGTTCATACTAAGACTCATGCGTAATCACATGGTCACTCGTACCCAGGTCCGTTCACAACAGAACTCACCCGTATTCAGTTGTCCAGTCTCCATGCAAGCCACAATCTCAAGATCTTGACTCGTAGGCTTTCGTGATGTCGAGCACTGGTCTCAGCCGTCACGGTTCAGCGCTCGCACGGTGCCGTGCCTCGTTCCGCTCTCGCGCTGTATGCAGCGCGGCGGCCCCCGCAAGCGCGCGGCTTCCCTGGGCGGCGGCCCTGGCTGGTGGCGGCAGCTCGTCGCGCGCCGGTACCCCAGCGCCGCGCCCAGGATCCGGCGGTGCTCGTGGCCGCCCTGCCGGCGCCCGCCTCGCTGGCCAGCGCCGGGACCGTCGTCCAGCAGAACCCCGAGATCCACGTGCACGTAGCGCCTGGCTCGGACGCCACAGCGGCCGCCTGGGCGGCGGCCGAGGGCGCGGCCAGCGCCTTCGGCTTCACCCCTTGCGGGGCCGGCGCAGCGCTGGCCGAGGAGGTACCCGTTGCGGGCGCGGTCAGCTCGGCGGCGCGGCAGGAGCCGATCGCTGGCAAGTCGGCCCAGCCGCGGACCCCGCGCACAGAAGCGTGGGCGCACGCAGTGTGGCGCTATCCATCGCGTCCCGAGCGAGCTGGGGGGCGTGCGCTGCGGCGGGGGCGCCGCGTGCAAGGATCTGGCGGCTACGCTGCCAGACGGACGCTACAGCTTCCCGTATGGCACGCGCCTGCGCCGCTTCGCCTTGGAGCAGGCGGCGCTGGAGGGCTACGAGGCCGAGGCGGCCAAGCACGAGGCCCCGTCGCCCGCGCCGGTCTTCGACCTGCTCGAGCCCCGCCGGGGGTTGCCATGGTCGGAGGCGCGGATCCCCCCAGCGCGGAGGAGTACGAGTGCGAGCTGCGCGTGGCGGAGCTCACGGACGACCACCAGCCGCTGCAGGTGGACGTCTCGTGCATGCACTTGGGCCTGTCGGCCGATGGTGGGGCTTTGGCTATGTCCATCGCGCCCATCAGCAAGCGGCGTGGCGTGGTCACGCTGGCGCTGCCGGCCGACGTCTGCCCGTGGCTGGGCCCGCACTTCGCGGCCCTGGGCGACCCACGGACCCGCGTGCCCACGGGCGACGGGCAGTTGGCGACGGTGGCCTTCGTGCGGGTCAGCCCGGACGACGGTGCCTGGCTGGAGGCCGCGTCGGGCGGCGCTTCCTGGTCTGGCGACGGGCGCTGGCCTGCCGCGCGCGCCCTGGTGCAGCTCGCCGCCGACATACCGCAGCACGTGCAGGGGCACGAGAACTACGGCGGCGGTTTGGTCCCGGCTGCGCACGCGCTAATCCCGAACGACCTCGACTCTATGCTGGGCGGCGCGGTCGGCAACGGCCCTTAGCGTGGGATCCTGCGACTGGTTAGTCCCCCTTCCAGAGCCCGAGCCAGCGTTCGAGGACGAGATGATCGGGCCCGACTGGCAGGTACTTTCGGGTCGGCGGGCGCCTCCAGGTGGCGCCGCCGGGGCTGCAGCCGACGTGGGCGCGGCGCGCCTGCAGGACGCGGCCTCGGCCGCCGCGCAGCGTGCCTCCGCGGCCGCCCCCGCTGCCGAGTCCGCGGCGCCAGGTGGGCCCCCGGCTCGGGCTCGCGCCCTTTCCGATTCGGCCGGCAGCGTCGACAGCGGCACGAGCGGCGCCCGCGGTGCCAGGGGGGCCCGGTGCTGCGCGTCGCGGTCGCCTCGGCCCGCGAGATGATGGCCTGGTTCGATGCCAGCAACCGCGCGTCGGCATTCGAAACCTTGGGAGGGCCGCCGCCCGGCACCTCGCCAGGAGGCGCCCGTCCGGCCGCCGCTCGCGCCGCTGCCGCTGGCGCCAGGCCCGCGCGCCTGCAGGTGATGGCCCAGCCGCGCGCCGGCGCAGACGAGCAGGCCGCGGCGGCTTGGGCTATGCGCGCCGCCGGCACGCCGCTCGCGCACTTGGGCAGCCAGTGTGCCTGGCCGGCGCCGCGCCCCTGGGCGCCGCCCCGCCGTCGCGGCCGCCGGCGCGCGCCGGCGCCCCGGGCGGGGGGCGTGATGCCGCTGGCCGCGACGCAGGTGGCCCAGGCGCGGGCCAACTAGCGCCACGGCGCGTCGCTGCCCGACGTCGCCGAGGGCGAGGTGCGCAGGTCGCCCGAGGGCATCGTGTCCTGACGCCAAGGCCAGCGTCGCTGCGCCGGCCCTCGCGCTGGCGGCCGCGGCGCCCGCTGCCCCTCCGCCTCGGGCCGGCGCCTCGCCGGCGGAGCTGGCGGCGCACTGGGCCGCCGTGGCCGCGCTGCAGCGGATGCCGCCTGGCGGCGAGCCCGACGCGCTGGCCGACCTGCTGCAGCTGGGCCTCGACGACGGGTCTGACGCTTCTGGCTGGATGCCCGGGGCCCGCGGCGCGGCCAGCGTGCCCGACAGCGTGGGGCAGGGGGCAGGCCCTCGCCGGGCCCACCGACGACCTGGGCCCGCGTGTGCGCAGCATGGTCTAGTTCGTGCTGCGGACGGGCACGATCAACAGTGCCGACCGGACGGCGACCCACCTCGGCAACGGCCTCGCCTGCGTGGCGGACCTGATGGGCCGCGGGCCGCGCGAGATGGCCGAGGCGGTCGCCCGCCTGCTCTTGGCGGCGCGTGGGCAGTTCCAGCGGGCAGCGGCCAGTGGCAGCTGGCCTGGCTGCTGACGCATCTGCCGGAGCCGCCCTGGGCCCAGATGGCGTCCGGCAGGGGCGCTCGGTCGACGGCCTCTGCCCTTTCGGGCATCGGGGCCGATGTCGGCGACGGCCGCGATGGCCTGCGCCAAGGACGCGGCGATGTTCGGCGGAAGCTCGGCGACGTTCGCGGCGGGGCCAAGAAGGGCGACGAGGGGCAGCGGCCGCCCAGGGCTACCCCCCGCGGAGGCAGGGGCGGCAAGAAGGGCGGCGACGGGAAGGAGGCGCCGGCCTCCTGGCGGACCTCGAGGCGGGGCGGCCGCGAGCGCGGATCGGGATGGTTCGCCGCCTCCTGTGGTCCATGACCAGTCTGGCCTTCTCCGGCGCGCTGTCGGAGTCCCAGGCGCGTGCCTCCTTGAAGGTGTTCCCGATCTCGCCGCCGTTCCCGTGGACCGTCGGCGCCCGGCGCCCCTCCGCGCGCTGGCTTTCGCTGCAGGGGGCGCTGGGAGCGGCGGCGGATGGCCGGACTGCTTGTTCATTCCGTGGTCGTCGCTTGCTCCTTCCTATAGCGCTGCGCTCGCAGCGCTGGCGCCCGGCGTCGTGCCGGGCGGGGGTGGGCTTGTGTGAGGTGCAGCGTGGTGGGTTGCTTCGCTTACTCACCCATGCGAAGCAGTGGCGCCGCGCGCCCTGCCAAATGAGCGGCCGCGGCAAGGTGGAGCTACGGGGGCTTCTCAAAGTCGGTCTGCAACTGCGAGGGGCCGAGCCGGGGCGGCAGGTGCGGGCTCTCCCTGCCCTCTCGCGGTCGTGCCGTTCCTGGCCGGCCGCGCGACCTTTCGCGAGCGTGAGGCTCGCTTCGACCCCGTCCTCCACTTCCCAGTCGTCGGGCGGTGGCCCACCTGGGCCCGGCGCTGGTGGAACGAGATGTGACGCTGGATCACGGGCTGCAGCCGGCGCGCCAGGCTGAGGGGGGGTGGTTTAGATCGCGGCTTTCGCGTCCGACCTCGATCAGTCGCGCGAGCTACAGTCCTCGCGAAGCCCGAGGAGGCGAACGCGGCCTGGGGGTGCAAGGTCGCCCCCGTGTTCCGGGACCAGCGCCGCGACCGCATGGCATGGGCAGGCGCGTCAGGAACGCCGCGGAGCACGCCGTGCAGTCCGGCAGCCACCCTGGGGGCCCGTTGCCCTTAAATTTAAACGTTGGTGTTGTATCCGTTTAAACAAGGGTGTATCAGTTAATATAAGAGTTGATTCCCTCTAGCCATTATGGATGGCCTAAAAACCGAAAAACACGCCTACTGCATCTAATCAACTAACATTCACTACACACTATGAGAACAAAAACACATTCGGGCATACCACGTTGATAGTTCGGCATCGGGGGGGGGGGGGGTACGTTCGCATGATGGTGGTTTTCTGTGTCGCGCGCACGCAATATGCACTTATCACGGCACTGCGTTTTTTCTCAGTAACTTGAGGGTGGCGCAAGTACCGAGCACGTTGCGCATGCATGCAGCTGGGCAGTCAAGAGCAAGTGCAGGCAGGCTGACTGAACTGACTGGTCCGACTGAACTGAAGCAGTGCTTGTAGGTTGGAATTTCGACAATGGGTGTCCTAAGCGACCTTCCGATTTATCTCAAGTTCTCCCAAATCCAAAAACGTGCCCACCATCTTTTGTGTGCGTTCTACATATGCTCCCTGCTCGTGGGTCACGCATCCAGCTTACACGGGCGATCGGTATTTGTAGTCGTGCCACGTTTTTGCGCGAGGGCCTCGAGTTCGAATGGGGGAACGCTTGGCTGGAGATAACCCAAATTGGCGGATTTAGTTTGGTGTTCTTTTTGTCCTACCAGGGGCCTTCAGATAAGCTGCGTCTGACGGTCCGTAAACATTTTGGCTTGAGCGGTGTCGAATTCCACCTCGGACAGCAGACGCTTGCGAACGATGAGCGGAGATGACCAGCCCACGAAGCGTGTGACCTTCCAGGGGGCTGCGCAGGACATCGTCGATGCAATCGGAAGCCAATGCACGTCGCGGGATTGGCTGCCCGAGTTCGCCGCTAAGAGCTTGCAGCCCGCCGGGAAGAAGTTCTGGGCCACGCTGTGCCCGTTGTGCAAGATGCAGCCAAACATGTCCTTCCAGAAGCGCAAGGTCATGGACGCGATGCAGGAGATCTTGAATGCACAGCGTTCCAAATGGCCTTCAGATCTCAACGCGGAGCACGAGAAGCAGTGGGTCGAGTTGCACGCCCAGCGCCTGCGTCCCATGTGCATGGAGTTCGGCCAACGGCTTTCGAAAGAAGTGAAATGGGCCCGTGACCTTGTTGATCGCGACGACCCCGACGCAGGACACGGGGATTCTCACGGTGGCGATGGCGAAGACGACGAACACGGAGACGCCGACCAGGAGCAGCAATCAGACGAGGACGATCCCGAGGGGAAGGAGGGGGAGAAGGAGGAGAACGCTGAGGACGCACCTGACGACTCGTATGAGGAAGAGAATGTGGCCTTCAAGAAGAAGCAGGATTCGGAGGACTCCCAGCTCCCCCTTGGCGGATCGCCTCGGCGCAACTTCTTCTACGGCTACTGCCCCGAGATGAAGAAGGCGTGGAGGGCCGACGCGAAGAAGCCCCTGAAGAAAACGTTCACCGAGCTGTTCGAGAAAAGCGAGATGGACCCCACCGAGTCCCCGTTCGCGCAGTGGGGCAAGGAAGCCGTCAGGATCCACGGCATCACAGTGGCAGAGCTGCGCGAGATGAAGAAGATCGACGTAGAGAAGAAGAAGGGAGGGAAATTGTGGACTGGCAGCGACGACAACGGCAGGGACATCAGCGTGATGAAGACTATGAAGGCTGGAAAGGTCATGTACTTAATATTCCGCACCGACGCTGACAAGAAGGATGGGAAGGAGCAGATCTTGCAGATCTCGTCCAAGAAGCTCGTGGACGTTCTCGGCGCAGAGGTTGGCATCACGAAGACGCTCAACGTCGCGACGGACCTGGCGGGCAGCATCATGAAGGGCGGGATCCAGGACACGAAAGAAGCTCGTTCTCTTGCACGCGACAGCGCGCTCGAGGCGGATATCGGGAAATATGGAGATGCTGGCCCGAGCGCGGGGACTCCCGTGATGAAGAGGCCTGCGGCTGCGCCTTCGGACTCGTCGGTGCTGAAGCTGCGCAAGACGGCGGCGGAGGTGCGCCAGGGCAAGGACGACGACGACCTCGACAAGGGCACCGCGGCGGCCAGCGGCTCGGGCGGTGTCGGTGACAACTTCAACTTCGGCGGCTGGATTTCGGACGATGCCGACGGTGACCAATACGACCTTTGAGAACGACCTGGCTGCAAGGCTGGCCAGTTTACGAGGCGCTGAACGCGCTCCTCGAGCCTGCTGTTACTGTCCAACATCAGCTGAAAAAATACAGAGTGCCCGTGCACGGCCCTGCAAGGGGCCAGAGACTGAGAAAGAGAACCGAAAATCGCAGAAGGCCCGAAGAGGCCACCCCAAGAGGGCTCCAGAGGCCACCAATTAAGCCCCCCAGGAAACCCACCGTGGGCCCAACATCGCTACCTCCCACGGTGCCCCAGTAAGGCCTCCAAGAGACCCCCCAAGTAGTTCCAAGCGAAAAAACAGCGAACATCCAAGACACCTCTGATCCACAACCCAGTGATCCCACGCGAGGCGGAAACAAACACCACGGCAAATCACACATGCCCGTCCGTCCTGCGTCTGGGGGGAGGGGTCGACGGAATATCGCCAGCCTCTTGAAGATCGTCAGAGGTAGGAAGAGTAGGAGGAGGAGAGAGGAGGAGGAGGATGATGGTGAGGAGGAGGAGGAGGAGGAGGAGGAGGAGGAGGAGGAGGAGGAAGAGGAGGAAGGGGAAGGCGCGGGGGGAAGGGGCGACTGTCGAATCGAGGGCAGATCCATGAAGAATACTATTGAGGAGATGGTCTCGGTCGGTGGTCGCACGACGGCCGTTTTCGGAGGGTACCCCTACTCTTCCTCATTCTCGGCCTCCATCCATCTCCTCCTCCTCCTCCTCCTGTTCCTCCCCCTCCTCCTCCTCGTACTCGTCTTCGCATTCCCCCTATCCTCCTGCTCTTCCCGCTCCTGATCCCCCCGCTATTCCCCCTGCTGCCCCTCCTTCTCCCCCTCCCCCTCCGCATCAGTCCCCCGTCCGTTCTTGCCATGTTTTGGCACAGCCTTGCTCTGGCATTGTTGCGCTTTCAGCAAGCGCCTCCAGCGTCCGCCGCACCGCTCGCGCATCGTTCGATGTCGGCGGATGCCGCGGCCTCAGATGCGAAGGCTGAGCTGCCCTACGAAATATCAGACCCAGCCCCCCAGATTGCTGAGCAGACGGCCAAGGAGGTTGGGTCTGCGTACGATAAGCTGGTCAAGGCCGCCCTCGATGCCACGACCGTCGAGTGCGACGCTGCGAACGCTGAGAAGATGGGCATGCAGTGCGAGAAGGCCGTCAGGGATGCGACGATTGGAGACGGGGAACCTCCAGCTGAAGATGGTGACGCGGATGCAGAGCTCGATGGAGATCCTAGCAAGGACGAGATCGCGCTCGCTGATGTGCTGGCCAGGGGCTCCTTCGACCTTCGTGCTTCTCGCGTCGGGCGGCTTTGGGCGCACGGCAAAAAGTTGAATAAGCAGCTGGAGGCGGACTACAATGCAGTGGGGAAGGCGTGCGACAAGCAGCGCGCCTTCAGGATGAATTGGGCCAAGACGAAGCTGGAGAGCCTCAAGGTTGAGCGCTGCAAGACGCGCGATCAGACCATTGACGCGGGCATGAGCGGCGAGTATTTGAGTTTCTACAAGACGTGGGAGGCGGAAGGCCTCGACCAAGCTGGACTGGAAGCGACCAAGCACTTCTGGGCGAGCGCGGTCGAGCTGTGGAAGCAAAAGAAGACGGTCCATGGCAAGCCCCGCCTGAAGTTCAGCCGCAGGACGAAGCGTCTCTACGTCCTGTACTTGAAGGAGCACGTCGGCTTCAACGAACGCCAGACGTGGGGCGAGCGAGCGACTGAGCTCGTGC